CGGCTTCTATGTTCTCCATGAAAAGCCTTCATTCTGCAGTCCTGGCCACTAAGAACTCTCTGGCTTCTCTGTTCTCCAGGAAAAGTCTTCATCCTAGACCAATATTGATCCTTTGCCAGTTCCAGAATCAGTAAATAATTCCAGGGGTAAAATGTGGTTGGAGTTTTCAACTTTTGACTAATTCTTTTTTTTCTCTGTTTTGTTCATCTAGTTCGCTGATGATTTAATATATAATGTTTGTAATTTATTTGTCTTTTTCTAGTTTCCACAATGGAAATATTATTATGACATGTCCTACAGCATCATACACAGAACAAAAGTTTTGAGAGGCTGGCTGACAATGTGAAAAGACAAAGTAAAGATATTTAACCTGAAGAAAAGAAATATTTATGTTTTGGGGTCAAAGCTATTATTTATGTCATTTTTATCTGAATAAAAAATGCTAATCGATTTTTCATTATTCTTTAAGATTCACTGAGCTCAGAATTTTAAGAATCTTCTAACTTGTATTAGCATTTATATACTATGAGGTGAAATATTTTCTTTTGAGTCTTATCTGAATGGGAAATATACACAAAATAAAGAACCAACTTATTTAAGCATTTTTTTTAAAAATAAAGATTAACCTCACAAACCAAAGATATTTTAATTCAGAATTCTATTTTTCTCGTGTTACATTATTTTCATTATACCATGACAAAAACTTTATTTAATGTCATAATTATCTTTATGGTGTGCTTCTTAATTTATCTTGTGCAGCTATGTATTTTTCTTCAATACAATAACAATCATGATTTTTAAAAATATTAGAAATATCCAAATTTATTTTACGGTCAGCATGAATTCAGTCCATTCTCTGATATTTGTTAATTACACAATGTCAGTCAACAATTTAATTGTTTCTTCTAAAATACTATAGTAGTCTACTGATCTGTATTTTATATCACTTTGGGTGGTAATGTTGCAATTTGCATGTTGAAATTGTCAGTGGTCATTTATAGCTCCTTGTCTTGTTCAGCCTCAGAAGAGCATTTGAAAATGGTTGGTTGTTCTCTGCTGGAGTTGTTTTAACTGTGCTCCCATGGCATCAAGTTCCTCCCCAAAGATTTTCTAAGAAATCAACCAGGGGAAAATAATCTGTAAATCAAATTTTAAACATTGCATATTCGACCCTATCATATTGGTTCCCTATTTACCTCATCTTACTTTATCTCCTATTTCAATTTCACAACTACCCTTCTACAAACCTCATTTTGTTTTCATTCACGATCTCATTTCAAGTAGAAGTCCTTTAAACTGCCTTTTTTCCCTCAAGTGTCCAAATAATCTTTGCTTATTTTTCTATCAATTTTTTTATCAGATAAATATCAGCCTAAATTCTCTTCTCAGTGAAAGCTTTCTCACTACCCCAGGCCATAAGGTATAATAGCTTTTCAAGTCAAAATTGATAAAGTCATTTTGTCAAAGGCCAAGCAGGAAAATTTTAGTACCCATCTTAGCACCACTGCTAATGTTGTAAAGCAATGGATAGCCTGGTTCAGCACTCCACAACTTTCCCATGTGATGAGAAGACTCAGGAGTTCAGCTCTATCCCCACTGAAGTCAGAATCCCACCTTCACTAGGAAAGTGTTAGTGGGGTTACTCGGGAAGCTGAACTTCCCTTGTCCCCATGTGCACTGAATAGTGCAAGCTAATCCTCCACTTTGCTCAATGGTTTTCATAGTCCCCAGCAGGAACTGGACATAGACTTTTCCAGATGTATGTACTATTCCTACTAAATAGAAGATCAAATAGATTTCAGAGTTTCACCACATAATTTGGGTATTATCCAGAGTACAAATTATCCAAATTATCCAGAGTACAGTAAAAAATCATTTGGCTTTCCAGGATAATTACACATTGAATAATAAAGAAAATGGATACCATCATGGAGATACCTCAGGTTTGCAATTATCTGACAAAGAGCCTCAAAAGCAAGCATAAGATTCTTCACAAGTGAAATTCCTTGTTTTACTCCTAGCAGGATAATCTGAAAGTTTTCCAGAAGGCCATTAAACCCAGAAGGTACAGTGACTTGGGGCAAAAATGAAGTACCTCTTGGATATTAGAGACCAACAGGCACTGTACCAGGTTGGAAACTGAGGAAATTCATGCTTTCACTAAACAACAGGTGGGTATAGAGAAATGCATGGAGACTGTGGTGCAGAGTACAGTAAAAATCATTTGGCTTTCCAGGAAAATTATACCATGAATAATAAAAGAAATTAGATATCACCATGGAGATGACTCAGGTCATCATACAAAGTGGGGAGCCATCATACAAAAGTACAACAAGGCACTGATACTCAGGTGGTGGGCCCAGAAGGGGAGAATTGAGCAACATGGAATTGAGCCCATGACTGAGGGGAAGCATGTATGGAGGAGTTATTTCTTAGTGTGTTGGCTGACCCCCTCCCACCCACCATTTCTCCAGACCACTTGACAGATAGAGAGTCTGAAAACTCAGTTCTTCTACCAAAGTGACTTCTGATTTTCAAATAATATGTGAATCACCTGCTCCTGAATTTGCTTGGTCTTGATCCCATAAATGATGGGATTCATCATAAGTGAATGCAGGTATTAGCCAACAAGATGTGGACATGAGGAGTAATGTGGTGTCCAAACTGCTGAGTAAGTGTGAAGATCCCAGCGCCATAAAAGAGGATGATGATGCAGATGTGGGAGTCGCATGTGTTGAGAGCTTTGGCAAGCATCTTGGGGTGGGATGTGGAACACAGCATAGAGAATTAGCACATAGGAAACAAAAATTAGCACAAGATCTAGAACCACCATTAACATGAGGATGGAAATTCCATACCGATGTTCACTTG